CCACAAATATCTAGACCGACTCTTCTTAAAAAATCAATTTTTACAACTCAAAATGGCATTAAACAGTGCAAACAAGTATTTTTATTCAGAATTGCAAAAATCTCATTTGAAAATTTGTATTACAGTACATATGTGAATCATCAAAAAAACTTCATAATTATAATGAGAAAGTCATTTTATCATTGTAAGTAAATAAACATATTAAATATTAAAAACAATTTTAAATAATATTGCTTCAATTAAAATATAATTTTGTTTACAATTTAAACTGTTTTGCCAACACTTAAATATTTTTGCCGACCACTGGCCTCAACTTGAAACTAGATAACATTGATTGAACTATTGGGCTAACTCTCTTATAATTAAAAATTTTTAAAAGCAGGCAACTTAGAACAAAAAACAGTTGCATATTATGAAACTAGACCTTCACAGCTAAGAAACACTAACCTAATACATAATTCAATTGCCAACACTTTTTATTATTGCTTTGAATCTTTGAGGCTTGCTGTCGATCAGTTTTCCTGAATTCTTTTGCTCAAATGCTGGAAAATACATATGCAAACTTTTTTACACATTTGAGACTTAATCAGTATCCAAACATTTCCAATCAGCTTTGTATAAGAGAAAATGTCTGCCAATCCAACAAAGTGATTCCTTTTTACACTTTCCATTCCCGACAAAGACAACCTCTATGTTTGGAGATATTACTTTCTTAAAGTTCTTGTCATGACCAAACCATTGTGCAACAGATTTTAATTAATAAATATTTTTCATAGATTCTTTTCATTCTCACTACATTTAAATTTTCAGTAAAGAGACAATGACCCAAGTCCACGTCTTGAGAAATACCCCCAAATATGCACCTAAACAGGGTATTTTAATTGTTCTTTGGATTGGTCTCTCAATTGGAGATGAACAAGATTTCTTTCAGCAGAACTTCATGTCCAGAATGACGTATTATATATATTTTCAAATAATCAATGTCACAATCCTTACGATTTCCATAGAATGTCTCTGTAAATGTGTTTTTTGTTTCAAGTGTCTTTATTTCATACCATATATTAAATACAACTAACTGAACCATAATGAAAAGTACAGCAATGCTATAACCATAATAAAACGGAGCAAAATACCTGTGATTGGTGTATATAAGAAAAAAAAATTATTGGTTTACACTAGTACATATTGAACTCTGGTGATCCAAAAAAGCAACCTCTAAAGAGTAAACAACCACTCACCACACTGGGATATAGTTAATCAGGTATTCTGAACCAATTACAGTTTGTAGATGACGAAAATTGTTTGAATTTTATTCCAAAATGAAGAACCATCAAGGAATTGTTAAAAAAAAAAAAAACTCAGGAGTTAAAAAATGTTCATTTTTGTTTGTTTTCGTCATCTACACACCATAATTGGTTCAAAATACCTAATTAAAACAAACCTCAACAATCATAAAGAATGATGTATACAAAAGTTATACCGTATTTTTACAGACTGTCTCTCATGAAATCAGATATTTGCATGTGCTAAAAACTGGCATGCTGATATACATCCCATTCCAAAGGGTCCATAAAAAAGGAAATAAGTTATGTTGCACAATATCTCATAGATACCAGTTTTATTCAAAAACTGTAAAACTGCTGGCATTACATCAAAAATTAAAATGATAAATACTTGGATTGGATGTCATGCCAACAGTTGTGTTAAGCATTTAAGCATTGAATGCTTAAATTTAAATGTTCTCTTTGAATTCTCTTTTCGATTTTGAATTGTCTGAGAACGACGTATACATTTACGTTGAAAGCGCTTGCAAGATTAAAATATTCCTTTTAATTCTCTTTAACACCTCCTAGTCTGAAGTTTCTAATAGAATTAATTAAAATGATAAGATGAAAATATTAAAATTATATAAAGAACAAATTAATAGTAATATTGATGTTTTACTAAATAATAATCTTGTTTACAGCTTCATCCAAAATCTTCATGTGTTATCCAAATACTATTACATAGGTGAAACTGGTAGAGTATTAAAAACCCATATAAAAGAGCATATAAGAGCTGTAAAGTATGATTACACCAACTCAGCAGATGCCACTCACTGCAATCAAGCTGGCTGTGAGATCTCATTTGACAGCATCAAAATTCTTATAAAGGAAAAATTATTATTAAACAAAAATTTTTTGAACATATAAATTATTAAATGACATACACAGAATGAATCTAAACACTGGAGTTGTCATCAATGACATCTGGCAGCCATTACTAACTAAATAGAAGAGCCTATTTTAAGATGTACTTCCTTTCTCACTCTCCCCACTCCATCATATCCCACTGTGTTGTACAACACATCAGACATTCTTATAACAATACAGTGAATACTCTCACACTTTACTTCTTAGCCTGTCGCAATTGGTTTATGTTTTTTGTACTTTTCTACCTTTTCAATCAAATAATATTTCAAACATTTTATCAGAATTATATCATACTTTACAGGTATTCCCTATTAATTTTACATTTCATTTCTTAACTACAGTAGAGCATCAATTATCCAAATATCGATCAAACGAAACATCAGTTAACCGAAAGCATTCCAGTCAGCAAATTTCCACTAGTGATATGGCACTGCAATATTTGGTTATGTCTTGGCTACACCAATATTATTTTTGTTGGTATGCATGTTTTAGCTGGCAGCACTGGCGCGACCATGAGAGGGTACTTAAGGAGGTTCCAGGTTTTGAACAAATTTCAACATGGGATAGGTTAATATATGTTTTCAGACATAATCGGTTATCCAAACTATCAATTATCCAAACAACCCCAGTCCTGAATTGTTTCGGATAATCAATGCTCTATCCATTTTTATTATTCTAGCCCATATTTTTATATGGTTTAACCAAAATTCTTTTAGCCCTACTATTTTACTTATTTCACCCATGTTTTACATAACAATTTGGTTATTCCAACAGTCGCTATAATAAGCTTAGGTAATTATATTTACTGTGAAACTTTTATATGTGTATGTTAAATATATTTTAATACATTATGTAAATCTTACATAATGTTTTTACCAATATATTTGATATAATAGAACTGAAGAGAGACATTAAGCCCAAAATGAATATCCTTTCATGTCAATAAACCTACTTTTTCCACTCAAAGTGTTCCTGTAGGATTTGTTCTCAACAGCAACCTTGTGCTAATTGTGAAAGAAATACACTAAAATAATATGTTTAATTTCTGCATTTTATCTTCTTTCTAACCATAAAAAATCATTATTCTTTAAAGCTGAATTGCTGTACAACTTGATAATAAACTGACCTTTCGTGATGTTTCTAGCAATGCTGTGAATATAAATGAAAAAAAAATTTTGGCCACATTCAGTGGCTAGAGCATCAGGCTTCTATAGTAAAAGTTCTACTAAAAATCTATAGAAACCTGATGCTGGTCCTTGAACAAGAGTAAAAACATTTTCTTTTTGTTTATATTGACATCATTGCTGGAAACGTTCAGTTTATCATCGAGATCTTCTTTCCAATGATATAAATACTCATGGAATGATGAAAGTGCTTTTTTTCATGTTTATTTTATTGTAATTTTATCAAAAAATGGAAAATACCACTAATTGTTTTATTACCCTGTAAAGGAAAACTCTTTTTGCTTGTAAGGTCAAATCACAATGTTATTATTTTAATAAACAAACAACTTACTGGAAAATAAAGCAACCAATATACACAACACCTTAATATTTCCAGCAAAAAATTATTTAATAAAATAATAACGTTTTCAACTATTTTTAAATAGCCTTCTTCAGTTAATCGAACTCAAACGAAAGAAAGCTAAAATAGAATGCAAGCAATACAAAAACTTTAAAAATTCAAATTAATTCCAACGTAAAACAATAAATTGCACAGGTGGTTTATATAGGAATAATGATAAATAATAATTAATTTAATTATGTTTTATTCTACTCAGAAGAATGTTTTCTTTAATATTTATTTGACAATCAGTTTTGTTAGATCAGATTAATTTTACTTTTTAATCGCAGTTTAACCAGCAGGGTTTCTGATATGCTGATCTCCCCTGGCTATATGTAGCATGCTGGTCAATCTGCAAAAAAATACAAAATTCCATAATGTTGACCAGGTTGTCTATGGTCTCTCTGGACCTGTTTACAAACTCTGAAAATAATTTCTTTGCCAAAGCTGGCCTACCTGAATGCCTACTCTCAAGTTATTTAAGTAGTAACACAAACATGTTAAGAATATCACTTGGTAACAACTCATTCAGTGCAATTGTTTATGACATGTAAAACTCTCAACATGTTCATGTTGTTACTCACACAACTTAAGACTTAACATCCTGGATGGGGACTATCCTCTGTTAATGCACAGCTTTCTTTTAAATGCTTATGGTAATGCATAAAAGCCTATACTTTTTAAAACATATTAAACATCTTGGTAAAGTTTTTTTTTACTTACTAAGTTTAACACAGAATTTAAAATTAATTTACTGCTCATGATGTGTCATTTCAAAATTCCCACAACACACACTTCTATATTCCAATATATTGACATTTTCATGATATAAATCATCCACATATGGATATTTATTGCATGTCAAACATGAATTGACATGTTTAAGAAAATATTCAATTGTATTTATGTTCACAATTACAGTCCTATTGCTAGGCAATATCAAAAGATCAGTTTATTTTTGATTCTAGTATGTATTTTTATTTTGGTTATTTGGTTATAGGGAGATATCAGCAGGTCGTTTGGTAAAATCACAAATGACCTGCTGAAATCACCCTACATTATAATATAGTCATCAAGTTTTTCTGAAATAATGTTTTTAATGGTAATGGAAATTTTTTATTTTTCCTAATAATTTTAAAAGTTGTTTGCACAAAAAAGTCTAATAAATATGATTTAAACTTAATTTACTTATAACTCCATTGTAATAGTTAAAATTATTAAATTATCAATAAAGTATTTACTTACTTCTATTCCCTGAAAATGGACCAAACAACAATGCTCCATCACGTTCACTTACTGTACATTTATCACTTGAAGTTAAATTAAATGTTTCAAAAACTAAAAACACTTCATTCATACGATAAGATTCTGGATAAATATGCCACAAACATTTATGATTTGGTGGTATTTGTCCATTATGAGGCATTAACTCCCCAGTTGACTTATTATGATTTGTTCTTCCACAAACATGAACTGCAAAAATTATCATTAAAATTTTTTAATATTTAAAATTTAAATATCTATATTTTAAATTTTAATACATTAAGAACACTTAAAATTTAATAAATGATAATTTTAACATCCCTGAGTTTAGCGTTAATAAAGTTCCTTTAGCATTACTACGAACAGTTTGCTTAAGAAAAGCCATCTGCTCCACACGGTGCAGAAGATTTTACTTGCTTAAAGCGTTACTTGAGCTAGAAAATGAGCTGTACGAGCTTGGTCCACAAATCTTAAAAAAACTAACTACCGAGTTTTAGGCTTAGCTAATCAGGTGGCTGTTAGATTAAGGAAGGAAGAGGTATAAGAACAAAATGGACTGGATTAAAAGGCACCAAGAATGTCGTTGTAGAATGCAGATCAACACTACAGTTATCTGCTGGGATAGCATCACACTTCCAACATGCTTGAAAGAAGCATGTAAGTATGGACCTAAATATGCACCACTACCTAAACTCATGCACGAAAAGATCATGCTGGAAGTCGAGCAAACTATAGAGGGGCTCAGCGAAATTAAGATGGAAATGTTTAGATGGGAAGTGGCACTTAAAATCAAACAAGAAAATAGTAAAAGGGATTGCGACCCAATCTGAGCAAATATCAGAAAAAGTCAAGACTGGCTGAAAGGTAATAATCTCGTGCTCACTAGGGCCGACAAGTCGAAGGACTTAGTAGTCATAAAAAGAAGCACTTATGACGACCTTCTGTTAAAATACATAAATGATATGCAATGTATTATGGCATACCCATGCACTCTAGAAAGACTGCAGGCAAAAGTTAAAAGGTTTGCAAACACACCGCTGGCTAAAGAACTGGGTTTGATGAAAATAATCGTCCACTCTCTGTTGGCACCTACATTATTTGGATTTGCCAAAATCCACAAAAACAATAAAAGCTTAAGGTCTGTGGTTGATAAAGGATGTGCACCCACAATATTATTGAAAAGGTTTGTCAATGAGTTCATTTGCAAATATTCACCCCTACATCAATACAGCATAAAACAACCTTTAGAACTTCTACATAAAATGGCAAATATGAAGTCGCAAGAAGTTAAATATATGACTGTATGTTGGAAATTAACAAGACCTGCAGAAACAACATGGCAATTAATTACAAGGACAACAATACTGACCTCAGTGTGGAGGGCTTTATTTGAAATTTAGCAATACGGTAATACCCCAAACTTACGCGATAGGTGGGACCGAGCGATAACCGCTTAAGTCGAATTTGTGTAAGTCAGGGTATAATTTCGCATATAAATACATACAAATAATTTTTAATTGGGACCGAAGACTAAAAAAGCAATAATTTAGAAAAAAAATGTTTAATAATACCTTAGATAATACATATATATAACATATTATATTATTATACATTTTTTCACAATTACTTGATTATCACACCATAATTTTAACATTGTTTCCATCTCAGCGATAATACTGTGATGTTTACAAATAATGCTTGAATTTAAAGACTGAGCATTTTTCGCAGCTTCGAGAATTTTTTCTTTACCTTTTATAATTGTTCTGACCATCGATTCCAGTAGATCAAACTTCTTTGCCAATTTGCAAATTTTCATTTTTGAATCGAAGTCTTTCATAATGTTAACTTTACATTCCAAAGATAAAGTTTTTCTTTTCTTGTTTGATGCAGAAGAATCAGTTCTACTTCATTTGGATGACATAGTAGAGTCTCTCAAGTCTCCGTAGATAAAACAAACACAGAAATAAATAACACAAAATAAATTGTAGCTATGCGTCGATTCCGCGCGACATTTCCGAACATGTAAGCTGAACAATAGTGTGGGGGCGTGAGTAATCAAGAGTTGCGTGGCACTCAGAAAAAAGACAAATCAGCGAGATTTGAAAATTGTGTAACTCCGGGTTTGCGTAAGTCGGGGTAGCGTAAGTCGAGGTATTACTGTAATTTACAACACAGAGAACACATGTGTTTTCTGACTACCAATCAGACAATTTTTTCCTATTTTAAATAGAACTCTCCATTTCTTGTTAAGTTTCTGTGTTGTTCTTTTAGCCTGGCAATGGTTACTCAATATATATATATATATATATTCTATATATAAAAATGAACATGTATGTCCCTATATTTCACTTTTTCGCCAAAATTACACATCGCACGTGAATGGTGTTTGTATGTGGTAGTAGCCCCAAGTCTCCATTCGTGCATAGGGG